ACAATCTAGTAATTATTAAGCTTATAAAAATAATATAAATAGATTAAAAAAAAATTCAATAATAATAACAATTATTTTCCAAAATATTAATAAACATTAGTTTATTATTTTAATAAAAACAAATAATTATTTTTAGATAAATTTTTAGACAGCACCAGKAGCAGCACCAACTCCAGGTGCAGCACCAGTAGATACACCAGCACCAGTAGCAGCTCCAGTAGGTACACCAGCATCAGGAGCAGCACCAGGAGCWGSACCAGGAGCAGCACCAACACCAGGAGCAGCAGCACCAGCAACAGGAGCAGCACCAGTAGGAGCAGCACCAGGTACACCAGCATCAGGAGCAGCACCAACACCAGGAGCAGCACCAACTCCAGGAGCAGCACCAGGAGCAGCACCAGTAGTTACACCAGCATCAGGAGCAGCACCAACACCAGGAGCAGCACCAACCAGGAGCAGCTCCAGGAGCAGCACCAGAAGCAGCACCAGTAGTTACACCAGCATCAGGAGCARCACCAGCACCATGAGCAACACCAGGAACAGCACCAGGAGCGACACCAGGAACAGCACCAGGAGCAGAACCAACACCAGGAGCAACACCAGCACCAGGAGCAACACCAGGAGCAGCACCAACATCAGGAGCAGCACCAACACCAGTTACCACTCCAGGAGCAGCACCAACACCAGGAGCARCAGYACCAGCACCAGGAGCAGCATCTATAGGCGCACCAACACCAGGAGCAGCATCTGTAGGTACACCACCAGTAGGAGCAGAGARCAGAGATAGATAGATAGATAGATAGATAGATAGATAGAGAGAGAGAGAGAGAGAGAGAGAGAGAGAGAGAGAGAGAGAGAGAGAGAGAGAGAGAGAGAGAGAGAGAGAGAGAGAGAGAGAGAGAGAGAGAAKAGAGAGAGCGAGWGAGAGAGGTTYAAAAAATGTATACTATTTAAAAATATTTTTTTTACTTAATTATAATACCTTTTTGTATATCATTTAAACAATTATAGCAATTAAATGCTGTAATCAATAAAATTGTTAGCAAACTAAACAATTGTTTTCCAAACATTTTTGTCTCAAAAATAAAAGTAAAACAATTTAGTATAAAAAATTTATTTTTTTTTACAATTTTACAAACAAACAGTTTCTTTAGTTGTAGTTAACTATCCGTTTGAATACTCACTACTTAAAACTTTATTATATATATTTTTTCATTTTTTATAATTTTCTAAAAAATATATTTAATTATAATTATTTATAAATAACTATTTCATAATACAGTATATATTAATACATAACAGCGATCATTGAGATCATTGATGAGGTAAGTRTGGGTTAGGCCTTAATATTAAAATAATTTTTTGAAAAATATATTTCCATAGAAAAATATCTTTGAAACTAAAAAATAAATTATTAAAATTAATAAAAAAATAAAATAAATTAAAATGATATAGATGAAATATTATTAAATTCTATAAGATTATTAATAATATATTGTTTAATTAATTGTTTAGATAATAAATTGTGTAATTTTTAAAAAAAAAATCTTTAYTATAATATTAATAAATTTTYTCAAAAATATTCTCAAAAATAATTTTTTTTTTAGTAAAGTTAACAATYCYTTTGAAWACCTATACCTATTGACTGTTAACTAATTGAAAAACTATAAATAAATTATTATTTTAAACTATATTTTCTTGTATTTTTTCAAAAAATAAATAATAATCTATAAATAATTATTTCATAATACTATATATACTGTATATTAGGGGGGAGGGGGTATTGAGGTAAGATGACCCTCTATTGAATTATAAAAATTACAAAAGCTTAGTTAAAATTTTAGATTTTATTTTATTTTTATCAAATAAAAATATTAAATTAAAATATTAAAAAATWAACTATATTTATACAAATTAGTTATTTTTATCTMTCTAGAAATAAATAATAATTATAATTTTAGCTAATTCAAACTACAGTAATAATTATGACAATATAAATTATGTTAAATAATTTTCTAGTTTTTTTAAATTTCTAATTCAAAATTAGATAATTAATTAATTTTAACTTTTAACTAAATCCCTTTCTATTTACTCTTTAAACATATTTTTGGAAAATAATTTTTAWTAAAAAAATGCTATAAATCTATACAGTTTACAATAAATTTTAGTCATGAATTTAAAAAATATTTTTTATACCCCTCCCCCTCATATTCTAATGTATTATAAAACTTTACACATGTTAAAAAATATATATATAATCTCATATATACAGTATATATATATTTAAAAAAAAAAATCAGTGACAAAACTAGTGGGTAGCGGTTTCTACTAAATAAAATACTTAACTAATTATTAATATGTTAATAGATTTTAGTTAGTAAATGTTTTTCATATAACATTAAAATTTGTATTGAATAAAAAATAAAAAATATTAAAATAAAATTACGTTAGTTTTCTAAATTTTATTTTTTCTTAAAAAAATTATTTTAAAACAATACAA